GTCCTGCCATAGAGGTATTCGTGGAACCTCTTTACGGCGGCGACGATTGCCAGGGCCTCTTTGTCCAGCTGACTGTAATTTCTTTCTGGTTTTGAGAGGGTTCTTGAAAAGAAGGTGATGGGTGCTTCTTTTCCGTCGGTGAGAGTGTGGCTGAGGACGGCTCCGACGTCGAAAGGTGATGCGTCGCATGTGACCGCTAATGGTAGGGTTTCGTTGTATTGGATGAAGACGGCATCCGATGTGAGCAGGTCCTTGGTTCTGTTGAATGCGGCTTCCTCACATTTCCCCCAGGTCCAGGTGGCCGTTTTGTCCAGGAGCCTATGCAACGGTTCCGCTACGGTCGCCTTCTGGGGTAGGAAAACATTATAGAAGTTAATTAGTCCCAGAAACGCCTGTAGTTCCATTTTATTCTTTGGCCTGGGGGCTTCTTTGATGGCTCTGATTTTTTTCTCGGTTGGGTGAATTCCGTGCCGGTCTAGGAGATATCCTAGGAATTCGACCCTCTCGGTGTGCAGCTGGCATTTTTCTTTTTTGACTTTTAGCCCCGCGTTTTTGAATTTTTGTAGTACCTCCCTCAGGCGATCCTCCAGTTCTTTTTGGTTGGCTGCTGACACGAGTACGTCGTCGAAGTAGGGCACCACCCCCTTGATTCCTTGCAGGAGTCTCTCCATGAGGCTCTGGAAAATTCCTGGTGCCACGCTGACTCCAAACTGGAGTCTCTTGCAGCGAAAGGCCCCCCGGTGGGTCACTATGGTCTGCGCCTCGGCGGTTTCCGCGTCGACCGGCAACTGCTGGTAGGCTTGTGCCAGGTCGAGCTTTGCGAAAACTTTGCCTCCCCCCAGTGAGTGCAGAAGGTGCTGTACCACTGGGACGGGATAAGCGCTTTGTTGTAAGGCGCGATTTAGGGTGGCCTTATAGTCCCTGCAGATTCTCACTGACCCATCGGGCTTGACTGGGGTGACTATGGGAGTCTCCCACCGGGCGTGATCGGTTGGCTCTAGGACTCCTTGCTTGATGAGCTTGTCTATCTGCTCATCGATCTTGGGTCTGAGTGCGAAAGGTACTCGCCGCGGTTTTAAACATATCGGGGGAACGCTGGGGTCTAGGCTGAAAGAAATAGGGGGCCCTCGGTACTTGCCTAGGGTGCCGTCGAACACTTCCTGGAAGTCCCTCGCGAGTTGCTCCTCCCAGTCTCCCTCTGCGACATGGTCGATGCCGGTTACCTCGACCCCGAGCGGCGCGAACCATTGCAGTCCCAAAAGGCTGGGTCGGTCTCTGTCCACAATGGTCAGGGGAAGCCTTGCTGTGCGCCCCTTGAATGTGATTTCAAAAAGTCCGGTTCCGACTACGGGGATGCGGTTCCCTTGGTAGTCTTTTAGAATGAACTTCTGGCTTTCTAGGTCCCTTTTGTGGATGGCGGGCACCAAGCGCTTGATTTCCCGCCATGCAACCATGGAGAGGTAGGACCCAGAGTCCACCTCCATCTTGCATGGCTCTCCCTCGATGCCCACTTCCACGTATACCTTTCAGGCGTCCCCACTAGATGAATGGCCGATGATGACCGTCTGGTGGGTCTCCTCTCTTTGTCGGGTCTCGCCGTTTCGCCGGCCTCGTTCATCCCGGTTCCAACGACCCTCGGTCTGGCGGTCCCTTGTTCTAGGGGGTGTGCCGTCTCGCCTCCGGCCGCTGCTGTCTCGTCGTCGGGGGCTGTAGGTTCTTTTGAGTTGGCAGACTCGGGCGATGTGGCCTCTTTTGTCGCATTGGCGGCAGATCGCGTCAAAGAAACGGCACTCCGATCGAGGATGGTCACCCCCACACCCGGTGCACTGTAGCCCCGACTTACAACTCCGCCATTCGCGCTGGTCTCGTTCCGTCTGGAGTTGGTGGATGTCCTCCTCCCCGTCCGTGGAGTCCGAAAGGGAGTCGAGGTCGCCATGGTGTGTGGTGGTGGTTGCTCGACGGCTTGCTTCTGGCTGCGTCTCGGCTGCGGTGGTTGTCTTGGCGGCGGTGGCTCGGTCCCCGGTGTCTGGTCTCCGCATTCGGGCCGCTGATTTCCGGGTTGCTTCTGCTGCGGTTGCTTCAGCGAGGGCGTCAGTGAGGGAGATGTCGCCTTTCGCCATCAGCCGGCTTTGTAGGACAGGATCTCTGAGCCCGAGGACGACGCGATCTCGTAACGCCTCGTCCATGTCTGTGAAGCCGCACATGCCCCCCAGATTTCGTAGGTCAGCGACGAAATCGCTGATGCTCTCACCCTCTCGCTAGTCACGCGGTAGAAATCGTGCCGTCTGATGAGGGTGGGCACAGCGTGGGCGTAGTGACTTCGCAACAGAGGCTCGAGGTCGGCCCAGTCCATTGCCTTTACATCTTCTGGTCTACCAAGGGCCTTTGCCATCTTAAACACTGCGGGCCCGCAGTGTGTCAGGAATACGGCCCTTTTTTTCCTGCCCATTTGCGTCCTTAAGGTTGCTACTTTCCAAGAACATCAGGAATCGATCAATGTACGATTCCCAATCTTCAGTAGCCTGGTTGAAGGGTGCGGGCGGCGCGATGTTGGCCATCTCGTCGGTTTCGCTCGTCTCGACACATGTTCGGTGGGTACCAGTTCCGCGATCCCACCTTCGTCGCCAGTGTTATGTAGGCGCTCGAAGAATGGCTCGGGAGTCAGTGACTAATTTTCAGCTCTTTTTTAGTCCCAAGATCGACTCGGTGCGGCTAGGGCAGACGGCGGCTTTTATAGAACTTGCTGGCCGAGCCGCGGCCAATGACACCACTTTGAATCTCCCGCGATCGGTTTCTTCCAATCGCAGGGATTCACGGCGGGCCAATCAGTGCGGCTCGCTCGACCAATCGGGTCGCCGCGCGTCTCAGCCAATCAGAACGGTTATTTACAAGAATGCTAATGTATGGTACAGAACAGTTGCTGTCAACTATAGCAGGGATCCCCAACCTTTTTGACGCCGCGGCCCGGTACCGGCATCAGCTGGGCACCGCGGCCCGGTACCAGCATCAACTGGGCGCTGCCATCTTTTTTTGACGAAAAAGTGCTTCCGGTGACCTCACCGGAAGCACTTTTTCATCAAAAAAGATGGCGGCGCCAGCGCTTCCGGTGAGCTTTTTCGGGTAGAAATGGCTTTCTACCCAGAAAAGCTCACCGGAAGCACTTTTTTACCAAAAAAAGATGGCGGCGCCCAGCAACCAGCGGCCCGGTAAGAGTTGTTCCGCGGACCGGTATCGGTCCGCGGACCGGCGGTTGGGGACCCCTGAACTATAGAGTCTTAAATAGCTCAGGGCCCACTTATTTATGGTACCATCTTTCTCCAAATGTCTCTGCCTGTCCCATAATTGTGGGACTGCTATGGGCACCTTCAAATAAACAATGCCATATCCTGTCATCCCAGGGTGATGTCCTTTTTGTTACTGTTTTTGTCTTTCCTCTATACTATTCCCCAGAGGTCTGTTTGCTCCATTCCTGCTCTGCTTTACAAAAACATTGAATCTTGGCTTTTTTTAAATAGGCCAAAGTTCAATAGTATTTGTGAACCTGCTGAGAAATGACTAAAGCTGTTTTTTTTAATGTATCTCCCTCAGGACTCATAACAAAGACTAGTGTCTAGAAACTAGCACTCCCACATACACAATGCAAAGTATGGATACGGTGGTATGTAGACAACAACTTCATAATAAAAAAGGAATTACAGAAGACACATGAAACAATCGACATCTTCAAAAAAAAAAATCACAAGAAAAGAAAACAACAACAATACACAATCCTTCCTGAATATCCTTATCAGTAGCGGAAATGATAGCAAATTAAAAACACTAGTATGTTGAAGCACGTACAACCCATACTAATCAAGTGCTCCATTACTAAAACAACAATCCAACATTCTTCAAGAAGAGCTGTGTAAGAACATTATTTAGACCACAAGAGTCTAAATAAAAAACTGCAATTAATTCGGACTGTCAGAAAAAGGAAATGGTCTCCTATACATCTTCCAACAAAATAAATACACATGGAACTTTATCAAAAAATGCCTGACCACTGAACCCACTACAATGCAATCAGTATGAGCTATGAAAAGGGTTAATATTACCATATATCAAAACTTCTCAGAAATTACAAGCATACTATTTCAACCACATGGCATATTGTAGCAGACTAATCAACTAAAGTCCTCTAGAAGATCTTAAGTAGATCAAAAACCCCAGTAGTCCAAGAAAAAACAGGATTCATCTTCAACATATAAGGAGTGTAACAGCTAATAGGTAGGATAGACAGATTAGCAGAGCACACCCATGAACATCAAATAGCAATCAGAACACATTTGTGAAAACTTAATCTCACAACACATGGACAGATGCAGACAGTCATAGTTTCAACTGGGAAACTGAGCATTCTAGACCAAGCTAAATCCAGAAATACTAGTTCTGAACGCAAAGTTTGGCATTAGGATAAACCAACCATCAAGAGATATACATAGGGATAAATCACATTTACATACCATTCAAAACAGACAATAAAAAAACTAAGAGGGAAACGAAAAAACCAAAACACACCTTTGGCAGCCTACACCAAAATAAACAGTGATTGATGCCAGGAAAAATGAAACAGAAAATGATATCCTAATCAAGGAATCAAGCAAATAACCAAGCTCAAGAGAGCACCAAGGACTCCATAGTTCAATCCTGCGCTTCATATATTATCTTCTATTTTTGCCTGTTTTTTATTTATTTTTCTCTGCATTTTTCTTTCTTGGGAACTATGTCAGGGTTGTTTTCCTTTGATGTAAATGCATTATTTTAAACAAAGTGTCCAAAGTACAGAGCCCCTCATTCAAACATTTTCTTCCCACTAACATCATTTGGAAGGATTTTCTGTTTATCGAGACAGTAGTGATTGGATTATGTGGTGAAAATAAATTTATTTGAAAATGCACAATGAAGGAATTGGATGAATTGAATTGAACAAGGCAATCACTTTCATGTTTCAGTTTACTTACCCTTCTGAAGGATTTTATTGACGAAGCAGAGTCCAATCATTGAGATTTGCGATGTCAAATCACTCAGTGTCTGTTTAATCCCCACAAAACTGCTGAGTTCTTCACATTTCAGTCCAATCAAAGCTTGTGAGCTATCAGTTATGGCCTTTATTTTGGGGAAGTCCTATGGTAACAAACAGCGTTGAAGAGAGCTTACAGTTCAGCGAAATCTTATTTGGATATTGGAGCATGGAGACTACTAGCCTTTTTTCCTTCCTTCGTGTAAGATCCTTCTGCATAACACTATTTCTACTCTCTATTGCCCAGAGTCAGAAATGAGACAACTGTACTTCCATAACTGCCAAACACAAAAACTCTAATAGGTTACTTGGGAACTTGTATCTAAGGCAGGGGTCCTCAAACTACGGTCCGCCGGCTGGATATGGCCCGCGAAAACCATTAATGTGGCCTACGCAGAGCCATGAAGCTGTCCTGCCCACATCTGCCCACCCACCCGCTAGCCCCCACCTTTGGCCAAGTGCAGGATTTACCTTCATGAGTTGGAACTGGAAGGTAAGGCAGAGAGGTACTGGAGGCAGGGGGAGAAGGCTTCTGAGGGCCAGGAAGGCCAAAAACGGGATGCACGGAGGTCCCAGGAGGCCCAAAGCAGGCCTGTTTTTGGCCAGCAGAGTGCTACTCCCACTAGGTGCTCAGCAGTTGAAAGAGGAGCGGGAGGGAGGAAGGGCTGGCTGGCGGATCAGGCACCACTGAGGCCCCCCTCTTGGGGCTTCCTCTCCAGATCCACTCCAAGCAATGCCTGCCGGTCCAATCCTGCCTGACAGACCCAAACTCTACCAGGTTTTAGACCAGCAACCTTCTATTTTGAAGGCAAAATAAAAAATAAAAGACAACTTTAAATGGTAGAGAGAATGGTAAACATTGAATTGCTCAAATGGAAATCGCTGCCTCTACGAAGTAGCCAATGAGCAACTGGGGTTATCCTGCAAACAAACTGAGATGCACTATCTGAAAACTTGAGGCTTGAGGAGATGGGAAACCTGTATTAAAAGTCGAAACTAGAAAAATGTGCCCTAGAATTCTTTTAATACTGTATGGAGATATAAGAGAAGGTTATGTCGCCTATTTTATCCCTCCATAAATAGTTGCCAGCCCATTCTGATGACGGGTCAACGAGGCAACATAGATAAGCTTTTTGGTGTTGCACAGAAAGTGGCCAGAGTGTTTTTCAGGAATAATAGTTTCCAGTTACTGGAAGAGTCCAAAAGAATGTTAGCAAAAACTTCCTAACAGTATGAGTAGTTGGGAAACCAGTTACTTGAGGTGCTTGACCTCCATTCAATGTTTTAAGTTCCAGTTGAGGGTAGTCACTCATCTGTTGGGGATGCTTTGGTCTCTGGATCAAATTGAGCAGGATGTTGAATGTGGTAACTGTACAGGTAGTCCTCAACTTGCAACAGTTCATTTAGTGACTATTCGAAGTTACAACTGCACTAAAAAAAAAGGGACATGACCATTTTTACCTTTCTGACCATTGCAGCATCCCCATGGTCACATGATTTATGTTCAGATGTTTGGCAATTGATTCATATTTAAGATGGTTGCAGTGTCCAGGGGTCATGCAATCACTTTTTGCAACCTTCTGACAAGCAAAATCAATGGGGAAGCCGGATTCACTTAACAACCTGTTACTGATTTTAACAACTGCAGTGATTCTCTTAACAAGTGTAGCAAGAAAAGTCACAAAACAGGGGAAAACTAATTTAACAAATCTTTCACTTAGCAAAATTACTTCTGGGCTCAGTTCTGGTCGTAAGTCAAGGACTACATGTACTTAAATATCTCCAACCCCATAATTCAACTCTATACAGTAATTCTATAATTCTGGATGGATGAAATATTAATTTTCGTTTTAGGTTCATCTTTCTAACTTACCCTGTCTGCTTTTGGGAATCCTAATCCATGATATATTATTTAAAGACTTAATACAGTTATCAGGATTATATTTAGTATAATTATCAGAAGAACACTGCATATCATTCATTATTGGATGTGTGTGTGTGTGTGTGTGTTGACTAGTCATTGCAGTTTTCTTGGAAACGTTTTTCAGAAGTTGTTTGCCCTCGTCTCTTTCCTTAGGCTGGGAATGTGTGGCCCAAGGTCACCCAGCTGGTTTGTGCTTAAGATGGGACTAGAACTCAGAGTCTCCTGGTTTCCAACATGATGCCTTAACCACTACACCAAACTGATTGACAAGTTGCTTATTGTGGTGTATTAAATCAACCATGCTTCATTCAATGAATCATGGTTAATCAACTTGTAGCTGACCAGGGTATGTGGTCTCAGTTACAATATGAAAAGTAAACTTTACCTGCAAAAATTGAAAGTCACTTGGATCGTCCATCAGATTTGTCAGCCACAGTTTCTGCTTCTTAAGATCTGCAATTTGCTTGTGTCTGCGCTGAACAGAATTTCCCATAACAAGTAAAGCTGATTTTTCCTCTTGATCAATGAAGTCCATCACCTTAGTCTGCAGTCGCTTTAATTCTTTTAATATCTCTGTAAAGGCCCAACTAACTTCATCTCTGGCATTCTTCACCACTTTCTGTAAAGAATGGAAAAAATAAAATATAGCATATGTCCATCTATTATCTATCTTGATTTAAGGCTCTTCCAGGGAAAAAAAACACAATCTATGGGTCTATTCGAGAAATGAGATTGGCTTTCTTGTGTACCTATGACTCATCATCAGATCTGTGGGATAACATCACATTCTGGTTTCCTCTGTTGTGGTTCTTGGGAAATTGATATCTTCCATCTGCATAAATTGAAGCAATAGATAGACAGGGACGATCATATACACCCAATGGTGTGATAGTGGAGGGGAAGAAGGTTTAGCTAGTTCCAAATCTCTAGCCCATCTGAAACAACCCTTAATAAGGGACAGCTTTTTTTCAGTGGTGGAAAACACTGAATGAAGAATGTCTCAGGTTCAGTCCATGCCATCTACAGGGTTATTGGAGAAGGTTCACCCTGGAATCTTAAGAAAAAGAATTGCTGCCAGCTAGTGATGGATCAAAGTTTTGATTCAATATAAAGCAACTGTCACAATACATGCAACTGAAATTCTCAGAATAGTTGCAAAATGCAGGTGTATTTCGTATAAGAGGCAAACAAGTGTTAAAGTAGGTGCACGTATATGTTAAAACCCTAATTCTCTGTTTGCTACTAGCCATGTGGGTTGAAGACCAAAATATATGGGCAATACCAATTTACCTTTCACATAGATAGAGCAAGGTAGAACATATTCAGCATGGGCTGTTAGTCTTAGGATCACTAGTTAAGAGTCTCGTCTATGGGATCCAAAGATACACATGAAGCTAATGACTTCAGAATCCATAAGGAGATATCACCACAGAGAAAGAGACAATAGTGAATGGCAATAAGGATCACAATTATTTGATATACTACATTATTTTTTTATTTAAGTAGTTAGGTGATTTAGAACCAGAACTGAATGATTTAATGAAGATCATTTTTATAAACCATATTCCCGACTTCAGGTTGAAAATTCACTACTCTTTCTTCCTCTCCCAATCCACCATTCTATATTGCCTAATATTGGGCGGGGGGGGAGACCTTGTCAAAAGAAAGTATGCTGGTTGAGCTGCTAAATGGCTTTGATTGGAAATATCACCATTGCCTTCTAAAAAGTTGCAGTACTTATATATCATCATCATAATCATCATGTCATACTCTACATATGTGTTTTCCAACCTTGGCAATTTGAATATGTGTGAACTTCAGCCCCCAGAAATCCCCAGCCAGCATGAATTCTGGGAGTTGAAGTCTACACATCTTCAAGCTGCCAAGGTTGGAAAACACTGCCATGTATGGTTGGCCCACCTGTCAACACTAGACCTGTGAAAATTGTAGTAGGCATCTTAATGGTTGAACATGCAGTTCAGGTATAGATGCTAATCCCAGTCTTGTCTGCTACTATCTTCCGATTTACTGCTGTTGGGGAAGTTGTTTTGCCCCGCCCTCAACTAAGAAGATCCAAACTTCTTTCATCCATTTTTCTCACGTGCAGCTCACCATAAGGTAATTCGCTCTTGCCCTATGTTTCTGATGGTCTTCTGCCAACATCAGGACCTGGTTTTCCACACTGGCATGTATTCTCTGGACCTCCACCTGGGAAAGAAATGCCCCCATCAAAATCAACGCATTTGTGTAATCACACAGCCATCAGAGATATGCAGAATCTGTTTCTTTAGTGTACAGGCTTTCCTGCCCAAAGGCCTTCTTTCCTATAAAAATTCATGCCAAATGCACAGAATGCGGGGTGCTTATATATTAAAGTATCAGTTGAGAAAAATATCTTTTTACCAAACATTCATAAACCTTCTGTCTCAATTCAAGTTTGTATTGCAAAACAAACAAACAAACAGCATACTTTATTACCAAGCACACCAACCTGTTATCTGTGAACCCAGTGTGGTTGCATAAACTTTCCTTAATACCCATGAACAATTTTCCATCCTTGTCTTTTTTTAAAAAAAAAAAGTTAAACCAAATACATATTTTGATTAGCACCAGTTTTCAGAATACAGTATTATTTCCAAGAATACCCATGGATTCTGCAGAGCTCAATGTTTTTTGTTTTAAATCCCATATGCCCACCCAAAAAAGCAAACTAATCAAGGGGCTGCTAGTATTACCATAGAGTGACAGAGAGGGTAAAAGAGAGAAGATGGCAATGAACAACCTCATCTACCAGCAGTAAATATGAATTCAGAACCCCACTTTCTAAAGCAGTTATTCTGACTGAGCAAGAGGTTAGTGGCAGCCAATTTCCTTTAGAGTTCATGGTATGTTCTCAGAGAAGCAAATATTCCTGGAAAATTGCATTAGATCAATTGTCCCTGCTGCCAAAGCCCACACTTTCAATCTCATCCTTATACAGCTTCTGCATAAATTTTGTCTTTTTTTTTTTGGTTACGAATCAGATGATCTTTCTCTCGTGAGGGATGTGTGCTAACTTTAAAAATGTTTATTTATGGTTAAAGGGGAGAGGGGCTGTTTATTTCAAAGTACCACGGCATTTTGTTAGTTAGTTTGATTTACCTGATCTGGGGTCCTTCAAATAGGTTTCCAGATCATAAGTTCACAATCGTGCCTAACGCCCCTGTCCTATTGTCCCCATTTATCTGTACCTATTTCCTGTATTCTTACTCATGCTTATACTATACCTATTACCTTGTAAATGATGGACAAATCAAATAAATAAAATAAATCAGAATCAGCTAGCACCAGGCTAATCAAGACTGCTTTATGCTTATTAAGACATCAAGGTTAGGAAAAGAAGAAGAAAAAAATTCACTAGCAACTCTTTGCAGAACCTAGCCCTTTTGCTGCAGCAATAGAACAAGCTAAGGGAATACTTTTTATCCTGAGTTTTGTTTTTCTTCCTCTCCTCCATGTTTGGATACAGAAACATGATAAGGCTACAGAAATCATGGGCTAAGGATGGAAGAAAAAATGGCTGATGCCATGCAGGTGTGTCAAACTAGTGGTCCATGGGCCGGATGCATCATGTACAGGCCACGGCCATCTCAGCTCGGCAAAGAGAAAAACGTCACAATATATCACATGACGGCAATGTGATGCGAAAAGTTTGGCACTTGTGCCATAGAGAGAATACATTTCAGTGATTCTGACACTCCCCAATGTGGCTGAACAACTTGTAAGAATGGCTGGTGATGAACATATATATGGCAGAAACAGAAAAACTAACGTTCAATCCACAAAGTGTGGGAGGAATCTTGGCGTATGAAAGAACAAGGAAACGCAAGGAAAGAGCAAGGAAATGCTGCATAAAAGAGGAGAAATAGTCAGCATGAAAGCGAAACAATGAAAGCAGTGTGTAAATTAGGATTCTGATCCTGACCTGGACCTCAAACAATTGAATGACATCTATTTTACAACCCCCAGTCCATATCAACTAAGGCAGGGGTGTGAAACTCAAGGCCGGATTTGGCCTGCCAAGTGCTTAAATCTGGCCTGCGGGGCCAGCCTGGAAATATCAAAGAACCAGCCTGCCGTGCTTCTGCCAGCCAAAACAGGCTACGGGGGGCTGCCTGTGGACTCTGTGCAGCCTGTTTTCACACACACACACACCCATGGCCTCCTCTAGCATTCTGCCAGCCAAAAATGGGCCACACGGGGTCCTCATGGGGCCTCCACATGGCCTGTTTTCGGCTGGCAGAATGCTCCAGGAGATGCCGGTCCTGTTTCCCCCCACCCCCAACTGGCCTGTGGAGAACTACAATGCTGATCCAGCCCTTGAAGAAATCCAGTTTGACACCCCTGAACTAAGGCGTGTAACACATATGAAAAAACTTTCTACCTGTAGCGATGGGTACTTTTATAGGTTAACTGATGAGATATGAGAACCTGACTCACTTCTACTACTCAAAGCTGCCTTCCATAAAAACAAAGGCAAACAGGGGTACACTCTGACACACAAAGGCATGTACAAAAACTACTTACTTCTTTCTTGCTTCGTTCTTGCTTCAGAGAAATGACTTCATGGTTCTTATGCTCTTCCCGGACACAGATTTGGCAAATAAATTTGCCTTCCTCTTTGCAGAATATCTCTAGCAGCTTACGATGTTTTACACACATGCTGCCTTTCAAGTCACTGAGAGGTTCCACCAGCTGGTGGTTCTTGAAAACCTTGTCTGTGTAGTGAGACTGGATGTGGTTATCACACAGGGAAGCTATACATTGCAAGCAAGACTTGACTGCTTTTAACTTTCGCGCGAAACAAAAATCGCATGGTACATTCTTGAAACTAGCCGCCTTCTGTAGATCTTGAGTTTCCTCCCGTGCAAATCTCATTGCAATTTCTCCCAAGGTTACGTTTTTGTGGAGCTGAGGTTCTGAACTGAAGGGTTCCCGGCACTGAGGGCAGTATGGTTGTTCACCAATCAGAGCTAGGTGTTCCCAATAAACCTGCAAGCAATTCATACAGAAGTTGTGCCCACAGTCTGTGGTGACTGGGTCTCTGAATACTTCAAGGCATATTGGACACACAATATTGTCTTCAAGGAAAAGAAAGCCAATTTTCTGCATTGAAACAGGAAACTTTATTCTTGGCTTTGATTCACACGATTTTCAGCTATGTCCAAGCCAGTCACCTATTAAAAAAGAAATCTGTAAAACAGGGACTTTTGATACTCAAGGGCCACATACATATGATTTTTAAGTCCATGACTCAGAAATGTATACTTGTGCATTCAGGTACCACTCAAACCTTTACTTTGCATTCTCTCTCTTGCGCTCATTCACTCACTCTGCATGTGGCAAACTAATCCCTGCAGTTTTCCTGGAAATATTTTCAGATTCAGGCCCTAGAGCTGAGAGAAAGTGATTGGCCCCAAATCACCAACTGGCTTCATGCCTAAAGCAGGTGTCAACTCATAAAACATTCCTATGCCTGTTTTAGTAGTTGCCATAAAAAAAGGCGAAAGTACATTCCAATCCTTATCTTTAAAAGATTGTAACTAAAACACCAGAGTTTTTGCCCGGGAATATATTTAATTGGAGAATGTGAATGATGACATCCAGCCTGTAAAGTGCTCAGTTGGAGAATCTGGTTTATGAGGGGTGGGTGGGGAAACAGGGTCATAGGTGACTGTAAATTACGTATGCCAGAGTTGGCTTCATACAGGGCAGTACCAGTATGTCGCCTCTAATGAATCCTTGGAAGATTTTTGAAGTTTGGCTGGAGAATCATGATTTAATTAGAGCGATTGCTGGGATCCTGACAGCAGGATTGGAAATCACCATCTTCCCTAGCCTAGTGCCTTAACCACTACACCAAAGTGGCTCTCCAATCTTATACCGATAATACATAATCATTACTTCCAGTCCTCCAATGGTATGTTCAGAGTGAACTTATAAACCTTCTTACCTAACCAACCCTGTGGTGTAGGTAGATGGTTGGTTACTGAGGTAAACCAGTAACCTTGAACAGGGTTGCTAGAAGTACCTGAGCTTTTTCCCTTTGATACTGGTTACCTCTGTGAACCATATGTTATGGCTAAGAACTTCATGTAGCTATGTCCCTGCTACAGAAAATAGATTCAACACAATCTGAAGAACTGATAAAATGTAATTTAAAGTCATATCATAAAAATATGTATTTTCTAAAACAAATACAAATCTGAATAAGCTTTACTTGCTAATTTAATCACCTATTGGTAACCTTTTTGTGCAACATTAATGGTTCAGTCCACAATCTACTATTTAACATTCACAAGTAAATCTCACTGTATGTACAATTGTATCAGGTTGTACTGTCAATAGCAGGATCCAAACTAAAGCTCTTGGCCTGGATCAGCTGACTATGAATTTGGTCTGCTGAATCCTTATAATACCTTGAAAAATAACTTATTCTCTCCATTTATTATTTTTGAAAGTTGTGTTAAAAATAAAGATTTTTAACCTGTTTTTATTTCATTAAAAAAAAAAGTTAAAATACAAAATACAGAACTAAAAAAAATCCAAAAGAACAAAAGGAAAAAAACACAAAACATAAAACATTAAAAAGGTGCATTAAAAAGGATATAATACACATATTAAAAATAAAGATTTTAAGCCCTGCTTTTTATGTACACCTATGGGCTTAGCTATCGATCCTCAGCAGTATCAATCACTTGAAATATAATTAATAATTATTTGCCTATGAACATCTTCAGTAGAGGAAATAAAATGGCAGATTTTTTTTCTCAATGGGAATTTGGCAATGGTCACTCCTATTGCTCAGAGCACTTTTGTGCTATTCCCTCCCATAATGGCAATGTTAGGAATAGCACCATAATCTCATTTAGGTAGAGGTGAGCTCTTATCTTTCCTGTGCTTTTGTCAGTTTAAAACTAAAAAGTGATAAATTTCCATAATGTGGGAATGCTCAACCTTCTAACAATCCACACTCCTTCAACATTAAAATGGCTGTGCCTATTTGAACAGCTAAAGCAGTACAGTATTTAAATCAATAGATTTCTTCATTGCTTTGATTTTTCTTTAAAGAATGCATATGACTGCCCATTTCACAACAATGACTTCAGGCAGTGTACAAAGATTAAAAACCTAACAGTTAAAAACAATAAGCCATGGCACCGAAGATAAAGGATATCTTCCAATTATAAATTGGGATCAAACTGGATCTGTTTGAAAGAGTTGATACCATAGAAACACGAATAACACCCCTTGACACCATAGTAGCATCCCTGGATGCTTTAAAAGAAAGATTATCCAACCTTGAAAAAAAAGACACAACGCAAAAACCTGAACCTCCAATAGCTACAAACCACATCTCTACCCAACAACCACAACCCAATCTACAACCCAATCCACAAAAAAACATAAATCAGACAAATAATGATATCCCAGTCCTCATCAGAGAAGCTGTTGAGTGTGAACAGAAACATCCAAACACCACCTTATTTGGTCTAGAGGACATCAATGACAATGATGACATCAGAACTGTCTGAAACATCATCAGTGATTATCAAGCATCAACCATCTCTCCAGATGAAATACTTGACATTTCCCGCATTGGCCGAGAGCTCAAAAACAGAGACGGCTCTGTGGCCCCACGCTTCTGCAGAGTCATTTGCAAAAATGAATCAAGCAAACGTAAATTCATTTATACTATAAATTCACTTGCCAAAAGCAACACCAACCATAAGAACCTCCGTTCTTGCCCTGACCTAACCATACAGCAACATGCCCGCTCCCGTGTACTCCGCACTGAACTCAAAAAACGTCTAGACAATGGAGAGAAGGACCTGTACATTGACTACTGTGCTGACTGTATCAAAAGTAAGTCACACAACCCACAACTCAGCTTTAACCTTCAATCACAACCCTACTTCAACCAATCCACCATCACCCAAGACTAGGCACGCACGCCCCTAACTACCTCAATTCCAACTACAGCTGGCCTTAAATGCAAGCTACTCAATGTAAGAAGCCTTGTGAATAAAATGTCTGAATTTGTCCTCTTACTAAATATGGCTAAATTCGACACCATATTTGTCTGTGAAACATGGCTCAACGCATCTCTCCCTGACTCCATTACCACAATAAGAGACTATCATGTTTACCGATCAGATCGTGAAATCCGTAGAGGAGGTGGTGTTGCTATCTTCTATAAAAAGTCCTTACATCTAAAAAACATCCAACTTACCCAGGAGCTTGCTCTTCCTGAGACCATCATCTGTGAACTATCCTTAAATATCACATTTCGATTCTTACTATGTTACAGAGCACCTGATTATGACATCGAATATGTGAACAAGCCAAATTCACTACTAACATGGGCAACATTCTGCCCACACGCTTTTATCTTTCTTGGTGACTTCAATCTACCTCATTAACTGGACCCTAAACGAATGTACAACTGAACCCATACATGCAACCCTCTACAATGCTGTTACAAATCTGGGACTGGAACAACTAGTAACCAACAATACTAGACTTAACAATTGCCTCGATCTCATCTTCTGCAATAGTTTGAATTTAATTTACGGAATACAAACTAAAGAACCCTTTTCCAACAGTGACCACAATATGATTGACTTTTGTCTCAACACACACCCACACAAAAATCATCACAATGAGGTAATCCCCAGTTATAACTTCAAAAAAGGCAACTATGATCTTATAGACAACGATCTCTCATCCCTTGATTGGCAATCTCTATTCACTGGATGCAATACTGTTGAAGACCATTACAACATATTTTTACTTGAAGTCAAAAGAGTCATCAAACTATATGTACCAATAACAACTCCCAAAACAACAACAAAAAAAGAGATTACCCATAACAATAAGGAAACTTCAATCCAAAAAGAGATCTTTCTGGCGGAAAAACAAATCTGGTCACGTTGCCAACTTCAAAAGCCGATACAAAAATTTATGCCACCAGATAAAGACTGAATGCACCAATTATCTCATTAAACAAGAGGAAAACCTTCTACGCACCAATTGCACCCACGCTTTTTACAATTTTGTAAACAACAAACTAAAAGACTCAAGGTCCATCCCACCCCTGATAGGACCTAATGGTAAAGACTGCAATGACGACACCATTAAAGCCAACATCTTTAACACATTCTTTGGCTCAGTATTTGTAAACAGCAATGGATCATGCCCAGTATTTCCTAGCTGAACCACAGAAAACTATAATGATCTAATACATATCAATTTTACAGAAGACAATGTTGAAAAAGCACTACGCAATCTAAAACCATCTCTTTTTTTAAAAAAATTTTTTATTAATTTTTAAAGACAAACATAAACAAACAAAACATAAAAACATCAACTTTTCTTCCATAAGTATACAAGCAGTGTGCCGGTTGGTTTACAAGTTTTTTGTGCATCCATTTCATAGTCATCAATTACAGTTACATTGCATAATAACTCAAATTCTCAATCAGAAATTAAATACACTAGTATCATTATTAATCAATCATTTGACAATAACTTTATTCATTCATATTTTGCGAGATATCTATAACTTACTTAGTATTATTTTATAACAATTGATATAATCCTCCCAAATCTATCCTAAATTTTTTATAGATATAGTAAAAAAGAAAAAAAACATGCTTATATATTTATTATTTCTTAAGATTCTACATATTTCATTATTGTATTTTATTCTCTAACCATTGATAGAAAAGGTACCAAATTTTATAAAATTGTTTATCCTCTTGCTCTCTAATTTCAAATGTCAATCTACTCATTTCAGCACATTCCAATATTTTCTTAATGATTTCCTCCTGTGATGGTATTTTCTCGTTTTTCCAGTTTTTAGCAAATACAATCCTAGCCGCTGTTAATACATTTACAATCAGGTATTTCAAATCTTTACTATATGTATCAGGTAAAATTCCCAATAAAAATATCTCTGGTTTCAAATCTATATGTTTTTTTGTCATTTTTTCCAACCACATGTGGATTTTAGTCCAGTATTTTCTAGCATCCACACAAGTCCACCACATATGGTAATATGAGCCAGGTATCTGATGACATTTCCAACATTTTTCGGATTTGTTCTTGAACATTCTTGCTATTCTTGTCGGGGGGAAATGCCACCTGTAAAACATCTTATACAAATTTTCTTTATATGCTGTTGACATTGCCATTTTATAATTTTGAGACCACAATTTTTGCCATTTCTCTAAATCAATCCCATATCCAAAATTCTTCTCCCAAGCAATTCTAGTTTCTTTAACTTGTTCTTCTTCTAGTTTAATTTCTAATAAATATCCGTACAGGTTTTTAATCACCTTTTCATCAGTACCTGTCAAAATCTTATCTAAGTCAGTCAATTTGTCATAAAATCCTTCTGTTTTGAAATCTTTATCATACCTTGAATGTATTTGCACATATGAAAACCAATTCATCTTTATACCTTGTTCCTCTAGATTTTGCATCGATTTAAGTTCACCCTTTTCATTCAATATTTCCCCATATCTAACTGTTTGTTCCTTCTTATATATTATAGGATAAGAAAATGCTTCTATAGTCGATAACCAGACTGGAATTTTCAAATAACATTGTCTTTTAGTCTTCTCCCAATTTAACCACAAAGACTCCCGTATATGGTGTCTTCTAAAATATCCCTGTATTTTAGTTCCCTTGTACCATAAAAAAGCGTGCCACCCCAACAACAAATCATGTCCTTCTAATGTCAACAATCTAGTATTTCCTAATGTTATCCATTCCTTCACCCACATCAAATTTGTAGCTTGGTAATACAGCTCCCAATTAGGCAAACCAAATCCTCCTCTAATTCTAGCGTCTTGCAAAAGTTTTAACTTTATTCTCGCTTTCTTACCTTGCCATATATATTTCAACAAAATTTTATTTAAATCTTCAAAATAGTCTTTTCCAAGCCTAATTGGGATTGTTTGAAACAAATATAAGATTCTGGGTAATATCTTGATTGTTGAAATTCTCCCTATTAATGACAATTGTAGGTTTTCCCATTTCACCAAGTCAAGGGCTATCTGCTGCTTAAGTTTAATATAATTGTTCTCTTTTAATGTACTACATCTTGCTGTAAGATGTATCCCCAAATACTTAATCTTATTCGTGACTTGAATTTTCAATAGATCTGCCAATTCTTCCTTTTGTCTTGATAGCATATTCTTTGTCAAAATCTTTGTCTTATCTTTGTTAATTTTCAAACCCGCCACCTTGCCATATGCCTCTATCTTTTCCAGTAATTTTGGTGCTGTTTCTAAAAGGTCTTCTAAGATAAAGACCAGGTCATCCACAAAGGCTTGCAATTTAAATTCTTCCTTTTTAATTTTCATTCCTTTTATACTCTTTTCATCTCTAATATTTCTATTTAGCACTTCCAAAGTTAGCACAAATAGCAAAGGTG